CCCTCTTCATCCTTTTCCTGAATTCAGGACGAGCCACAGGCTACATGCTTACTGTAGCAGTATCGTGACTGTTGCTGAATAGAATAGTTACACAATGTCTCTGGCTAGAATGTACACAGTTCATGTGGACAGAATAAATCCCAATGAATATTCTCTAATAAAAGGAATAAAGATTATAGGAAAATATGGAGCTTCATCTTCCTATATAGGGATAATGAGGAGTCTCTGTGGGTTCTAGAATAACAATTTTATCTCAGCTTGGCATGCATGATTATAAGCAAGTCAACTGACTTCTAAGTAAGACAAAGATAGTAAGGCTTATTAAACATAAAGGTAAAAAGTGAAATTCAATTAAGTGAAAAATATTAAATAAAATATAGTAATTGGGAAAAAGCATAAGAGAATGATAAGAAGTAGTTTGGTAAGTGAAGTAAGAAAAGAGGATAATGGGGCTGGAGAGACACCTCAGCAGTTAATAGCACTAGCTGCTCTTGCAGAGGACCTGGGTTTGAATCCCAGAATCCCACATGGTGGCTAACAACTGTCTGTAACTCCAGTTCCAGGGGATCTGATGCCTTCTTCTGACCTCTGTGGGCACTGCACCACATGGGTGCACTTACATACATACAGGCAATACACTTATACAAATAAAATAACAAATTAAAAAAAAAAGATGATGTGTGCTGGGCATCCTGGTGTATACCTTTAATTCCAGCACTTGAAAGGCAGAGGCAGGCAGATTTCTGTGAGATCAAGAGATCAAGGCAAGCCAGGTCTCCATAGCGAGTTCCAGGCTATCTGGGGCTACTGGGAGACCCCATGTCAATAAGACCAAAAAAAAAAGAGGATGATATAGTTCAACATTAAGTGATAAATCTAAATAGCCAAAATAAATTGGTTAAAAGAAGATTTACTTTAAATAATTTTTTTATAACTTTCTTGTTTAGTTTTATGAGATTCAAAATAAAATAGAATGTTTTATGCTTTTGGATGAGAATTTTATTATTGGGTTTCAAACATTTCTAAATTGAGAATAAAATTTACTTGTTGAGAACAAAATCACAGAATAAATATTCTTGTTAAGAATTACATTAGCTAAATGAAGTATTAAATGTTTACTTGGCATCATTCTTGGGGGTAAGGGTGGTGATTAAAATGAAAATTAATCTGTCTTGGGCTTAATTAATTAAGCCTTTAAAAAATTAATCCCTTTCCCTCTTGGCCTGAATCTCAGGGGCTTTTCTGGACTTTTTCTCTCATGGGAAGTGTTCATACCCAGACTGGGTTACCGAGGGAAGTCTCCATGGCTTTTGCTATCTCATCTTTCTGAGCTGCCTTGGTGTGTATGGATCCTGAGGACAAATGGAGTGTTGAGGAAAGACACCAGGATCCCTGCCCTCTCCTCACAGTGGCTCCTCCTGACTTTTCTTCTATGAGGGGAAAAATGAGGGCATGAGAACGTGCCTCATCACTGGTTGTGTAGCCCTGGGTAACCCATCTCACCTCTCTGTGGCTTAGGTTCCACCCTATTAAGTGGAAGTAATACTGTAAAACTGCTGCCCAGTCAATGAGCATGAAGCAAAAACCAGAGTATTTCAGTACTGAAAGGCTTCCCTCACCTCCCTTGGAAGGTTGATGCAATTTGTGGACATCAACATCCTACCTGGATCTAGGCAGGGTCATCCAGTCAGACCCAGCCCTGTCTTGCATGGTCCTGACAAGTGCGAGAAGGGGCTGAGCCCAATGGGCACTGACCGTGCTGAAGAGCTCTGCAGCCTGTTCCAGGAGGCCCACAAGTCCACTCTCTGTAAAGTACTGACCAGAGCACACTCTGTCCTCATCGGGTGACAAGGTATCATCAGAGACGGCAGACTCCTCCAGGATGTTAGAAGAAATATTCTGTAAGACAGTCTAATATGAGCCCAGGGAACAAGGGGACCTGACTAATAAGGGACCCCAGAAGCCCAGACAGACCATAGGATGAGGAAGCCACACTCCAAACCTTCACCAGGCCGAAGTTATAACAAGTTTGTGATTCCACCCACAGGAGTTTCTAGATGCTGTTTTGTTTGAAAGGTCACACTATGCAACCTGTCACCAAACCCCACAATTTTTAACCATCAGCAGTGTAGCTGAAACAACCCCAGGTTGGTGAGATAACCTTAAGGGAGGGTCAAGGCCAACAATCAGTGAACAGATTCCTGTTTCACCAGCTGAGTGAACTGTTGGCTTTTGAGGATGTTTTGCTGAAGCATGCTGCCACCACCATCTGACTTTCAGATAAACAGCCGTAATATTACATATGACCGCAGCCAATGAGAATTCTTTACAGAAGTGCTATGGTTTATAGTAGTGTAAAAGCTGCTGGTCCCCTCCACCCACAAACATTTTGTTTTTACACATTCTTATTTATAAAAACTAGGGAATGTACTATCCAGGGCTAGGTTGACTCAAATCAGAAACTGAGGGCACAAAGTTTCAGGAAAAACTCATGTTCAGGGTCATGGACATGCTGATTTGGTACTTGTTTGACTCTGAGAATAAGTTTCTGCTTACATTTGTGCCTGTGCACACCACTTGCCTTACCCAACATCTGACCTGGCAGTGACTCTAGTACTTCTGACATGCCAAGAGTCATTCTTGGCTTAAGCTATGGAAGGACATATGGAGTATAGAAGAAATGGGAAACTGCCATGGTTTCAGGATTAAAAATAGCACACATGCCACTCCTTCTGATTGCTGTGCATGTAGCAAACACAATTCATCAATAATAGCAGTCTTTCCATCTGGAACTCGATATCCTCCCAAAATTCTCTCGGCATAGTGCTCCAGTGAGCCATATGCTTTGTGGAATTAAAAGCTGCCTGCCTTCTGACTCGGCTAACAAGATCAAGAGAATCACCTTCAGGAATCCCGGAAGAGGTAGTCATCAGAAGCCTATCCCCTCACATCCATATTGCAATATAGTTTTATGAACACAAGCAGAGTTTCTCAAAGTCTTTTGTGACCTGATATGTCTTCCAAACCTGGACTATTATAATGAACTCATGATAGAAGGTCCAAGAAAGTCAGCTGAAGGAATCTAATAACTCAGGACACTAGCACTGTTGGGATTGTTCATGACACTGTTTCTACATATAAAGGAATAGATACGAAGCTAAGCAGCTTACTAGTTGTAGTCAGAGGAAAAAGATTTTGTACAGACATTTCTGGCTTCCGTTCAGGAGGTTAAAATCATAGCAGTATGGAGAACTGTCCATATCTATGTTTGTGAAATAAATATTACACTCTAGAGCACAGGAATTCAATGATCTCAGTTGGTTGGAACTCAGTGAACTCAAAAGTTATTTTTCCTTGAACATATTTATCTCTACAAGTCTTTCCCAAAGGCTGAATTTTATCGTGGCAGAAAAAGGTTAAAAACTGAAGCACCGAACATTTAAGAAATCAGCAGTACATGTCTGTTGTTAACACTGCCTGTAATTCCTTCATTCTTCGGTTACATAAAGTACCCTCATTTTCTTTTTAAAAAATGTTTATTCATTATTTTTATGTTATGTGTATGAGTGTATTGCCTGCATGCATGTAAGTGTGTCTGTGTTGTGCAATGCCCATGGAGGTCAAAAGAGGCACCAAATTCCCCTGGAACTGGAGTTAAGGACAATTGTTAACTATCATATGGGGGGTTGGGAATCGAACCCAGGTCCTCTATTGGAACAGCCAGTGCTCTTAGCTGCTGAACCCTCTCTCTAGCCCACTCATTTTCTTTTGCACAAGGACTGATAACTTTAGATGTGGACCTATGACAGTGGCACAGACAACGAGACCATCTTATTACTTTGACCATTATGACTGGTTTGGGGTTGAACACATAACTCAGTCAGAACCAATAAGATGCCCAAAGACATTCTCTGAAACTTCTGGAAATCAGATGTTTCTCTTTTCTCCTGGACTTGAACCCCATTTTAACTCAATCAGTGTGGGAATTCTGCCTGTGAAACATGAAGACCACACTACAGAAGACTGGGACCGGAGGTGGTGACAACATGGCTTTGGGTCTCTAGGTCTAGGCTGGCAAGTACTACTGAGGATTCACCTCCCCATGCAGATTGATGGATTCCATTTTTACCTTAGGTTAGTGTGGACTCAATATCATTCACTTTCAAGCATCCATTTCCAAACAGACTTCATAGGACTTGTTTGAGAGAAATAAGAAATCTTCCATAGGCGTCACATGATTTGCCACCTGAGAACCTGGCTCATAGGTTCTACACATTAAGAAGGCCTCCCACTTCCCCCTTCCTTCCTTCTCACCCTCTTCATCCTTTTCCTGAATTCAGGACGAGCCACAGGCTACATGCTTACTGTAGCAGTATCGTGACTGTTGCTGAATAGAATAGTTACACAATGTCTCTGGCTAGAATGTACACAGTTCATGTGGACAGAATAAATCCCAATGAATATTCTCTAATAAAAGGAATAAAGATTATAGGAAAATATGGAGCTTCATCTTCCTATATAGGGATAATGAGGAGTCTCTGTGGGTTCTAGAATAACAATTTTATCTCAGCTTGGCATGCATGATTATAAGCAAGTCAACTGACTTCTAAGTAAGACAAGGATAGTAAGGCTTATTAAACATAAAGGTAAAAAGTGAAATTCAATTAAGTGAAAAATATTAAATAAAATGCAGTAATTGGGAAAAAGCATAAGAGAATTATAAGAAATAGTTTGGTAAATGAAGTAAGAAAAGAGGATAACGGGGCTGGAGAGACACCTCAGCAGTTAAGAGCACTGGCTGCTCTTGCAGAGGACCTGGGTTTGAATCCCAGAATCCCACATGGTGGCTAACAACTGTCTGTAACTCCAGTTCCAGGGGATCTGATGCTTCTTCTGACCTCTGTGGGCACTGCACCACATAGGTGCACTTACATACATACCGGCAATACACTCATACATATAAAATAAAAAATTTAAAAAAAAAGATGATGTGTGCTGGGCATCCTGGTGTATACCTTTAATTCCAGCACTTGAAAGGCAGAGGCAGGCAGATTTCTGTGAGATCAAGAGATCAAGGCAAGCCAGGTCTCCATAGCGAGTTCCAGGCTATCTGGGGCTACTGGGAGACCCCATGTCAATAAGACCAAAAAAAAAAGGATGATATAGTTCAACATTAAGTGATAAATCTAAATAGCCAAAATAAATTGGTTAAAAGAAGATTTACTTTAAATAATTTTTTTATAACTTTCTTGTTTAGTTTTATGAGATTCAAAATAAAATAGAATGTTTTATGCTTTTGGATGAGAATTTTATTATTGGGTTTCAAACATTTCTAAATTGAGAATAAAATTTACTTGTTGAGAACAAAATCACAGAATAAATATTCTTGTTAA